TAACTGTTATAGTATTGTTATAGGCTTACCTTACCAAATAACTGGTTAAATAGTCACATCCCAAATGAGCACTACCGTGGACAAAGGAAAAAAACAAACATAGATCTATTAACACAAGTACAACATTTTGGATAGTGACACAATGAGGTTTTTTCAAAGAAAATGCAGCTAATACAATAAAATAAAAACTAATTTTAAAGTACACTCATTCAGCGAGAGCTCTAAAGTTGTAGTAGTGATAGTAGACAGTAAAATAAATGTTAAGATATGTTAAGTACTGTTACACGAGCCAGTCCACTGCTTCCTCTGTTTGTGTTCATATCATAAATACTACCATGGCAATTAATACTAATTGACATTCTTGTAAATGTTAGCAGCATAATCCAGGATTGAATAGGGTATCTAAATTGTTTTGTGCCTAGTGAGGAGGCCTCCAAACTAGGCTTTTGGCAAGTTAGAAGACATGGAGCGAGCACTGATGCTATCAGGGTTGTATATTTCCCGTAAAGGAATTGACCAAGGTGTTGATCTAACAATAAGATGTCAGAGAGAGGTTCAGCAAAATATTGGAACATTTGTACTGCTGTCCAAATAACTTTTAAAAACCTTTAAAACCATCACTGCCATCCTCATGCAGTGTTTCCTCATACCAGCGATTACAATAAAGTCAACCCAAAACCATCATCCATTGAGTTGTGTACATACAGATTCCACATCTGCTGTTGTTTGTTCTAAGCACTCATGGTGAATTTCTTACAATAAAAATCCTGTAATTCAACTAATAAATGATCCAGATAAGCACCCAAGCTAGAAAACCACATTTAGGAGCTCAACATAGTGGATTAGAAAATAACTTTCAGAAAAGGCTTTCAGAATCTTTGGCAGGAAACCAGCAAAGAAAATGAAAATAGCACAGATTTATTGTGAGGACGATGTATACTTCTGAAATAAGCCAGAAAATAGGAATTTGTGTTCTTTCTTTATAATGCTTAAACATTCCATTACAGAACAGGAAATGAAATACCAGTAAAAGAAGTACTCATTGTTCTAGTTATACTGAATTCCAAAATTTAAAATTTGATGTTTAGTACCATTCAAATATTTGTGTGGCCCCACTCCCCATATTTATGAAAAGATTATTTAGTCATATTTGGGGTTTTTTTTCTCTCCTTATGCTTTATTTGCATGGATCAAAAACTTTCTCAGGGTTCATGATTGTATCCAGGAAAGAATTTTGCAAGGATCACTTACTTACATTCAGTGTTGAAGCAATAACTTAAAAAATATAGAGGGTGGAGCCTGCTCTTGTTTATGGAATTTTTCTTTCCTGCATAAACAGATTGATTCCCAGTAGTCATGAACTTTCTGTTTTTTGAGAGCGCCTGTTATCATGACTAACTTTGTAGCCTGTGAGAAAACTGAGGCTGGCTTGTCTCCCACAGGCTTCGCCTGGCCTTGTTAACAGATTACAGCATTCCACTTGTTAGTACCAGCCATACAGGAGAAAGTTTTACTATTATGCTACTGGATAGTGATAAGTAGACAGTCTTTTTAGGCAGTTAAGTCCTCAAAGTGACAGTTCATGTATGGATGATAAAGAGACAGAGCTTTGGATATCAAACAAAAACTTGTATTTATCTTTAATAGTGAACCAGCCATAGCTTTAAGTTCCATAACAATGACACGAATCCCATCTGGAGTGAAGGTTTCCAGATTCTTCAAGTGGAGAGATACTGAGGCATTTTACTTCCTTGTGAGTCAGAGTAGCATTAACCCCATTGTTAGCAGAATGAAAAATAACTAGTGCAAAGTGGGTAGTTGCGTTGTTCCATATTTAGCCTAATATGTACACTTTAATAGTTTGTTACATTTCTAAACTTCAGTGCTGGTAGGCAGCACTGAAGGATATGCATTGAGAAAATTAAAGAATTGAATTATGAAGTTTCCACTTAAGTTGTATTGATTATTTGGGCATTCTGAATAGGGATGTAAGTGACTAATCAACTAGTCGCGCCCTCTCCCCCCTGCTGCCTCTCTGAGGCAGCGAGGAGGGAGTTCTGGGAGGACCACTGGCTTAAAAGCCAGTTCCCCCCAGCTCCATGGGAGGGAGCGGGGCGCAGTGGTGGAATTCCATCTCTGAAATGTACAAGAGTCTCCGCTGGGGCTCTTATACATTTCAAAGTGAAAGCGCCGCATTGAGCCTGGGGTCAGCAGGGGACTCAGAGTCCCCCGCTGGCCCCAGGCTCTAAGTGGCATTTCAGTCTTTGAAATGCACAAGACCCCCTACTGGGGCCCTTGTACATTTCAAAGGCAGAAGGTAGCATGGCACTTCCACCTTTTGAAAAGTAGCAACAGCTGGGCAGGCCCTTGCTACATTTCAAAGCGGAAGTGCCCTTATCGACTAATGGAATAGTCAAGGAACTTCCATTTCTTCAAGATTAATTAGTTGATTAATTTAATTTTAACATCCCTAATTATGAGAGAAACAGTAACAAAATTCCTAGATTTTAAATGTAATTACTATAAAATATTTGGCAAAATAATTTCAAATATTATAAAAATCAAAACTCTCATAGTATTTAAATATAGAATATAAAGTATAGACTGAAGTTTTCCCAGATATCCACTGTACATTTCTTGCATGCTGCCTTTTTCTAATTTGTTTGAACATAAAGTAGTACTTTACTATAACATATGCTACTGCTGCTCCTAAAAGAGTGCTGAGCACAGAATGCACATTCTGATCTATGTACAGACATAACCTATTCAAATTCTATTTATAGATTATAAAGGTTAAATGTAATCCAGATTATAGAGTGTTAACATTTTCCCTGCTGATACCAAAGTGTAGAGGACTGACAGTCTGAACTTGTTGAGAAGGGTTGGGAGGGATAACAGTCTCCGACCTTCAGAGTTCTAAAAAGCAGGCCCTTGTATGGCTAAGTCCATATAAGTGTCCACCTGATTGGTTAGACCAGCAGAGTTCAATGCCGTGACAGGTGTTAGAGAAAGCTACACCTGTTTTCCCCATATGCTGATTTAGTGATTAAATTTTTGTGGGAGTTCCAGGCAGTGTGTGTGTGTATGTGTGGGATACACAACACATGCCAAGTAAATTGAGAAGGAATTATATCTCACTAATGATGACTTGTGTTCTTTGAGAATCTCATATTACATAATTGAATTTCACAAAGTGTTGCCTTACCATTAGGAAGTGAAATTAAGCAATCTGTTGCTAACAAAATAGTATGTACAAATGCTTATTTTTTAGCAGAAGTGCAATTGGTTGTGCACTTTATTCTTAGGTTAAGATGAACATTTCTTTGAAGAAATTCAGTCACAGATATTTGTATAGTTTGTTTACCATGCTGATAGTGTGACTCCTATCATCTCAAGATACAGGCACCATATTTTGTTTAATAAAGTATTGATATATACTCTTACTAATCCGAAAATGGAAGATAACATTTTTTTACAGAAAAGCTAACAAATAATTGTACAGAGATTATTCTTCTAACCATAGATTCACTGATAATTGTTGGATGGAAATTCAAACCATGACAGAACCAAACACCTTTCAGGTTGCTTAGGAAACCTACAGAAAGCAATATCTCTATAGTACATAAAATGACAGCTTTGATTTAAATTTGTGGAGTTAGGTTTTTATTTGTAAGACCAAAACAAGTTGGATAAAGATAAATTGTCTGTCCAAATGAAGACACACTTTGCACCACTGTTCTCTCTCTCATTTCTGACAGTTAAATGTTTATGATTATATATAATTTTCTTTAACAGTTTTCTAAACTTGTGAAACTTAGATATTCTATTTAAACAAAAAAGAAAATGAGCTTGCTTGGTCTGTACATTTTCTAAACTAACAATCCCAAGAAAAAATATTAATTGAAGAATGAATATGCTTTACAAGATCTTATAGGCAAGAGAGCCATAGTTCAAAAACCTGTCTCTTGGTAGTTGATATCATAGCAGAGAGATGAACATTAAGGGGAATGTTGATGCAGGTCCATATATAATAAACAGGGAAAGTCCCAGTGAAGCAACACACCAACTCACTGCAGAAGATGCACATGTGAAAAAAGCTCATGTTAGGAAAACTGCGGCATATTAGAAAGGGATTAAATGGTTGCATTTTGAAAATTGTTCTTCTTGGATTGTTGTACAGGTATTTTTTCTGATGTTATATGCAGAGTGACTGAAGGAAATTGTGCCTTAGCTAATCAGCAAATTGTTACAAACTTAGTTAGAACTGTTCAATAATACCATTAATTTGGAAATTTTACTCACTGTATTCTACACCATTAATGTTCCTGTTGTCTAGTGAGAAATTTGGAAAGCCAGCATTAATATTTTATTAATACAAGGCCAATAATTTATTGTCGCACAGCATCCTCCTTACAGAGTACATTGTTAAAAAAAAAAGTCATTGCTGATGATTGTGCTAATACAGGAAATAACATTTTATTATCACTAACAATTCTTACCTCTTGCTGTAACCTTCAGTGCTATTTCTATATGTCAAATTGCTTGATTGTATCAGCCGATAGCCAGGGGCAGATGACCGTTTTGCGGGGCCCCGGGCAGCGTAATTCTGCAGGGCCCCCCCTTTGCCACGGCGCATGCGCAGCGGCGCCACAGCGCATGCACGGGGCTTTCTGAAGCGCGGGGCCTGGGGCGGCCGCCCCGTTCGCCCTGCCCTATATCCGCCCCTGCTGGTAGCTTAAGCAAAGGCTGGGGGTCTACGTTATGATAGGTTATAGTAGGTACCCATGAGATCAGAGCTTTGAGAGGGTATCCCTCGAAGTGCATCTTCCATAGTGGTGCCCTGTGTAGCTACTTATTTTGAAAGGCCAAGGTTATGTCTTAAATTGGATTGCATTTCTGACAGTTTTATGTAGTTTCAGTGGCTCTGAATATGATTCAGCTTACAAAAAGTCTTGGCAAGTTAGTATTATTTGTATGTGAATTTTCCAATTGTATTTCAGACTTTAAGAAAAAAAGGCCTTAATGGTTGTGAGAGCCCTGATGCTGACGATTACTTTGAGCACAGTCCACTATCGGAGGACAGATACAGCAAACTAAATGAAGATAGTGATTTTATTTTCAAGCGAGGCCCTGTAAGTACTTTTATTTTACCTCTACTTTTTATTTGTTGATTCTTTTTATTAACTTCATTATTTAGGCTCTGAACAAGAAGGAACACAGAGGGTGTGACAGCCCGGACCCTGACACTTCATATGTGCTCACCCCACATACAGAAGAAAAATATAAAAAAATTAATGAAGAGTTTGATAATATGATGCGGAATCATAAAGTCACAGTGAGTACTAAAGAATGGCTTGTGTTTTTATCATGTGCATGAGAACTTTCACTTTGTTTTGCTTATCATTGAATACCAGAGTAAAGATAAGATTGTTCAATGGTTTATGAAGCAGAAATACCTATTATGATGTGTACGTACCTGTGTGTGAAAGAAATTGTGAATGTTGTTTGTGTGAAACTATCGTGTAAAGTAGGAATTCTTAAATTTTCCTGGAGGGGTCTGGAGGCCCCCTCCTGTGCTCCCTGAAGTTTCATACTTGTTTATGACTCTCAGGAACTCATACCTCTTCATAAGTGCTGCCTGAATGATTTTTTTAACTATGATGGGATGTAAAATAACTTGTATAGAGAGATTTTAATTTTTGTTACCCCTCTGAAAAATATTACAACAAATGACGAGTTAAAAATATTTCCTAGGAAGATGTCCTCCTACAGAGAATTTGTTGTGTCGCTAATAAATTATTTAATGAGTAGTATTTTCAAAAGCATCTGACTTTTTAGAAGACTAAGTTCGGTTTTCAAAAGTGATGTCAGCACTTAGGTGCTTAAAGGTGTGATTTTTTTCAAAAGTATTTAGGTAGGTGAAGAGGTAATAGATGCCTTGTGGGATTTTGAAAAGTACCTAAGCAGTAAAATGCCTGACCCCCATTCAGATCCTATTAGCTACCCATCTATATCTTTAGGCACCTATATATCTTTTGAACTACTCACACTCAAGTGCATAAGTCCCTTTTGAAAATATACTTAGGCACCTAAGCCACATACACACTTCTTTACATTTTCAACCAATATCTTGTTGTATGGTCAGAAGACTTCCTGCAGGCCATTTTATAGCCATCACATCCAAAAGCAAACCTGGCCAAAGCCTAAGCCATTACACCAGCACTGAGAAGACTGCCAGTTATGCTTCATGCTGCAATGCCCAGAAGAGGGGCACCATTTTTTTCTTTTTAGAATCAAAGATCTAGGCAATTTCATCAACAAGGCAGTGTATAAATACTGACACTAATATAGCCTTGTTAAATAGCTGTTTCACAGGTGGTATTGTTAAAATTTATGAGAATACTAAAGATGGAGCATCTGTAGCAGGGGTCTCAAACTCATGGCCTACTGGCCATCTGTGGCCAGAGAATTTTCGGCAATCCAACCTGAGAAATTCTCCTGCCAGTGAAACGGGGAGGAGTGTCCGGACACGCCACTTTGAAAGTAAATTAATTTTGCTTTATAGAATATATCAGAAATTAGTGTTGAATATACCAAAGAAAAATATTGCTTCCCAATAAAAGTAATTTTGATGCTCTGCTACATCCTGTCATTTGTACATCATTGGATTTCTTGTGGCAATTCAAAGTGTACTGGTTAGGTACATCTTAAAATCTACATGAAACTGAATGATTTATTACACAAGCTGTGCCTGTAGTCCCCAACTGACTCTCCAGGTGTGGAAGTAATTCCTTTGTTAATCCATATATCTATGGGGTTAAGTGTGCATTGTCAACCTTGATATTCAGCATTAGTTCATTCTTTAGGCTCTCTACACTTGCACACAGGTAATATCTTTTTTTCCCCTCCTTGCCAGTTTGAAGCATTCTCTCTAGGGTTTACATCAGTGGCATCCACTGTTGTCTTTCAAACAGAACCTTAATGATAGTTCTTTAGATTAACTTGAAATTTAAGACATCGGGAAGTGGTGTCAGAGCATATTCTCTAGTCTCAGTTTACAGGAGTAATTACAGTCCTCCAATTTAGTCTCTAAACTTCCTCTTTTTTAAACTGTGCCCCAGGAATTCCAGTTGGAAAAGTTCCCATAATTAGAATGACCAGTAAAAATTATAATCTTTAGAGTTCCTTACATTTATTTACATATGGTCAGTTTATAACTGTTATGGTTTTGTTTCCATACATGTGGATTATTTAACAAAAAATAGTTCCCTCACCTTTATGAAAGAAACAACAAATGGTCCGGTAGCACTTTGTAGACTAACAAAACATGTAATCTGTGAAGTGCTACCAGACCATTCGTTGTTTTTTTCTGTACAGACTAACTTGGCTACCCGCTGAGCTTTATGAAAGACTTAGTCCTGACTATCACAAGAGTGGAAAGACATAAAGCCTGTAGTAGTTGGTCATAGCTAAAAGTCTACACCCTAAAGGGGCTGGCAGCATGAAATGTGGGTCTTTATGGTAGCAATAAAAGTTGCTATCTCTGGGTGCTTCTATGTAAACTCTAAACACATACAAGGATATTACTATACCGTATTTTCCGGCGTATAGGGCGACTGGGCGTATAAGACGACCCCCTATCTTTTTAATTAAAAGATAGGGTTTCATCTTATACCCCAGCGCCCCTCCGCCTCCTTTGCTCCCGGTGTCCCTGGTCTGCTGGAGATGGTCCCCAGCAGACCAGAGGCACCGGGAGCAAAGCCG